GAATATAGGCAACAAATGGAGTTACTTATTATGAGGGCTGAAATAAGGGAAGAAGAAAGGACCACTATTTCTAGATTTCAAAGTGGTATTAATCTTGAAATAAGAGACAAAGTTAAACTTTTGCCTTATAGAGATTTAAATGAACTTGTTCAACTTTGTTCAAGAGTGGAGCATCAACTTAAAAGAAAATTTTTTTGAAAAGACTCCACTTCCTCTTATTCCAAGAGTTTTATGAAGGAGGGCCACTCTTCCCAACCTTATTCTAAGGAAGAAAAAGAAAAAGAAAAAAAGAAAGAAAAAGAAAAATAGTCTCTCAAAGCACCTTCCAAAGAATCTAAGTTAAGTGAAATTAAGTGTTTCAAATGTCTTAGAAGAGGACATATTGCTTCTCAATGTCCTACAAAGAAAACCATGATTTTAAAAGCCCAATATCACCATAGTAGCCTTGATGAAGCTACTTCATCTTCCTCTAGTACTGAAGATGAAGCCATAGATTCCGAGGAAGAAATCTTACCTTCTGAAAGGGACTTATTATTGGTTAGAAGGCTCATTAGCAATCAATCTAGTGAAATTGACCAATCTCAAAGAGAGAAATTATTTCACACAAGATGCAAGGTTCTAGAAAAAACCTGTTCTCTCATTGTATATAGTGGGTCTACTTCCAATTGTTGTAGTACTAGATTGGTTGATAAGCTAGCCTTAACTACAAAACCTCATCCTAAACCTTATAAAATGCAATGGATCAATAAGGAAAGAGGTATTGTAGTTAGCCAACAAGCAAGAATACCAATCTCCATTGGCAAATATAAAGAAGAAGTTTTGTGTGACATAGTGCCATTGGAGGCTAGTCATGTCTTGCTTGGGAGGCCATGGCAATTTGACAAGAAAACAATCCATGATGGCCTCACAAATAAAATAAGTTTCCAACACTTGGGTAAGAAATTTGTGTGGTTTCCTCTATCACCCTCTCAAGTGAATGAGGACCAACTCAAATTGAAAGCCAAGAAAGACGAAGACGAGAAAAGAAAAAACAAAAACAAAAAGAAAAGAAAAGAAAAGAGTTTTTCCTTTGGAGAGAAGGAAGGGCTAGGTTCAAGAGAACCTTAACCCTTGTGCCATCCTCATTCTTTTGGTGCCAAAGAAAGATGGCAATGGAGGATGTGCATCAATTTTAGAAATCCATCAATAAATAAAATATAGGCACCCAATCCCTAATGTCGCAACCGGGATCACGACGGGATGACGCTAACTTATTTTTCAATGGAGCTGCCACCAATATTTTATTTTAAGGGAAAACATTGGAAAACCCTTTAAAAGATAATTTTTAAAATTAAAGTTGGATTCGGGAGTCGATTACGTGTAGAGAAGGTATTAGCACCCTACAACGCCTGTAAAAACAATACCTTTAATTAATTGCACAAAATTATATAAATTTATAAATATTTAATTTACTCCTCAGAAAGCCTTTTTTTGTATTTTTATTAGAAAATTATAGGGATTTGGGTTAGCAAATGGCTAATCAATAAACCCTTCCAATAACATGAAAGATAGAATTGCTATTCAATCAATGTTATTGATTTTTATTTGTTGATACTAAATTATGCTTAAAGCTTAGGACGATGAATAATTATTATATTAAATTTTATGATTTACGTGATATTAAAGGGTAGAAGTGCTACTCAATTAATATCATTAACCATAAAAATAAGTGTACGTAAATTATGTTTATATTTTTATCTAAGGAAATAGATTTTTGCATAAGGATCCAAGTTAGCAAATGGCTAATCAATAAATCCCTCCAATAAGTTAAAAATAGAAGTGCTATTTAATTAACGTTATTGGTTGCAACATATCTTTATTCTTTTAAAAAAAGATTTGTACAGGAGAGTTTAAGCTAGCAAATGACTAGTCATTAAACCCAGGACCTAATAATGTTAAAGATAAAAATGTTATTCAATTAACATTATTATTGGTCGTATATTAAATATTTTTATAAATAATAATCTTAAAGGCAATCAATCATATTCACTATGTACAACCAAACAATAAATAAATAAATAAACCACAAAAAAATAAAAAATAAAAAATAATAAATAAATAAATAAACAAAAGAAAAAAAAGGTTAAGAAAAGAAACGATACCAAATGAGTTGAATCTTCGAATATGATGATCAAGAAGGTGCTTTTTGGCTACCTTTCACACTACAGAGGTGTCTCACAGATTTCAAGAAATACAAAAGAGAGGGGGGAGAGAAAAAGAAAAAATTTTGAGCTCTGAAGAGTATTGGACGAAATTTTTCAGCCCTGAAAACTGTGCCCAACGCGTCTATTTATAGACGTCAGACCTGACCAGAACGGCCCGTTCCAAAATCGGAACGGCCCGTTCTGGATCATACCGTTACAAGCAAAATGTGAATCTGGAACGGCCCGTTCTAAATTCAGAACGGCCCGTTCTAAACGTGCAATGGGCCGTTCTGAAATTTGGAACGGTCCGTTCCACGTAAGGAATTTTAGATCCTTTCAGTCACTTAGAACGGCCCGTTCTAAATTAATAACTGCTCGTTTTAAGATCAAAACACCCTGTTCTTGATTAGGGTTGTAGGCCTTTTAACTGACTTGGAACGGCCCGTTCCCATCTTTGAACGACTCGTTCTAAATTAGGGTTGTTGTGTTTTTTTGTAACTTGGAACGGCCCATTCCGAATTTGGAACGGCTCGTTCTAAGCTACAACTATTTTTTTTATTTATTTATTTTTCTTCAAACTTTCTTGTTGTCATATGGTGTTGCCTACATACTTTGGGAGCTCCTTCTCTTCATAGTAGATGTGCATTTCATCATTTTTGTGAGTCTGGATAAAATTGATTATTCACAGTTGCCCCTCTTTATTTATTTCTTATTAAATAATCTAAATATGGTAATTTAGATTATTTGTGATAAGAAATAAATAAAGATGTGAATTAATTTTATCCAACTACCCAAGACAGCTCCTATTGTTGATGGAGTAAGTCCTTGAAAGATTCAATGCTTTTGCTTGAAGCTAATCCAATGCTAGAATGTTGTGTTGGGATCATCAAGTGCTGGTGCTAGATCAACCAAATGTTAATGTTGAATGCTTGTGCTGGAAGGGTTGAATGCTTGTGCTGGAGGGGTTGAATGCTTGTGTTTGATCAACCGAATGCCAATGTTTGATGGAGTGGTCGAATGCTTGTGCTAGATCGACTGAATGCTTATGTTGAAGTAGTTGAATGCTTGTGCTTGATGGAGTGGTCAAATGCTTGTGCTGGATCGACTAAATGTTGGTGCCAATTCAATCAAATGCTGGTGCTGGATTGATTGAATGTTATGGACTGAATGCTAAGGCTGGAGTGGTCGAATGCTTGTGCTGTATCGACCGAATGCTGGTGTCAATTCAATCAAATGCTGGTGCTGGATTGATTGAATAATGATATTGGATCGACCAAATGCTTGTGCTGAATTGGTCGATGGGTCGTGCCAGATAAATACTGGGCTTATACAAAAGAAAAATATAACTTGTGCCAGATAAGTACTGGACTTAAATAGAAAGTCAAATATAACTGGTGCCAGGCAGATACTGGGCCTTTTAAAAAAATGTAATTGGTGCCAGGCAGATACTGGGCTTTAAAAGAAAAATATAACTGGTGCCAGGTAGATACTGGGCTTAAATAGAAAGTCAAATGTGAAGTAGGTGCTTAGCCTAAAAACTCTACGTCATAAGTTCTAGGAAGCAAGAGACGCAAATGAAATGTGATGCAATGGTGATATGATGCAAAATGTTTATGAGTCACAACTTTCAAGACTGAAACTTTTGTTTATTTCCCTTTTTTGTTTTAGCTTTGGCTTTATTTTTCAGAAATTCCTCATCGTGATACACAGCCAGGGATCATGGATGAGTGAGGCCTTTGAACGCTCTTTGACTTGAATGAAAGTTGGTTATTCCCTTGGGTTATCCTTAAGCTGTTGTAAGTACTTGTGAGTTGAGACAACATTATTTTGTTGGTTGCATAAAGCATTTGGTGGATATTGTCTGCTTTTGATATACTCTTTAATATCATAGTACCAAGGATTTCCATCTGGCTCTTCTTCCACTGACTGACAATATGCAGGTTGGTCACGACATTGAATCTTTATAAGTGGCATATCTTCATTATTACTCAACATGAACAGAGATGACAAGGTGGCTAGTGCATCTGCTAATTGGTTATCTTCTCGAGGGATTTCATTAAAAGTGATTTTCTCAAATTGTCTTATCAATTCCTTAATGTAAGCTTGGTAAGGAATTAATTTTGTGTCTCGAGTTTCCCACTCCTCTTTTAACTGATGAATGACCAAGGCTGAATCACCGTATACCTCAAGTATTTTGGCTTTCGCTTCGATAGCTGCTTGTATCCCCAGAGTACATGCTTCATATTCTGCTATATTATTGGTGCAATAGAAACACAACCTAGCCGTGATAGGAGTATATTGTTTTTCTGGAGAGATGAGTATAGATCCAATTCCATGCCCCAACATGTTGGAAGAACCGTCGAACAACATGATCCATTTATCTTCTTGTGGTGACCTTTCTCCATTAAATAGTGTCATTATGTTTTCATCTGGGAATTCACACTGCATTGATTGATAGTCGTCTATAGGCTGATGTGCGAGATAATCTGCCAAAGCACTGCCTTTAATTGCCTTCTGGGTCATGTAAGTGATATCATATTCTGATAAGAGAACTTGCCATCGAGCACTTGATGGGTCTATGGGTTGTGTCTTAGGCCAACATGATGATTCTGGAAGAAGAGAGCAAGCTGTCTATTATTTGAGTAAGAAATTCACCGATTATGAGATCCGATATTCATTGTTAGAGCGAACCTGTTGTGCCTTGGCATGGGCAGCTCATCGTCTAAGACAATATATGCTTAGTCATACAACATGGTTGGTGTCTAAAATGGACCCAATCAAGTACATCTTTGAAAAACCCGCTCTCACCATGGTTAACTAATAATAACCAGCCCTTAAGATTTTCCTTGCCATGGCATGCCTGTTGGTATGAGTGCCAAAAGAGCCTTCATGAACTTCTTTGATAATCTGTTGAGCTTCAACCGCATCTACATATCTAAGCAAAACCATATCATGATTTCTCTTATACAACACCTCTCCATTTAGAAAGAAACTCATGGCTAGTCTTCTCAAAGTTCTCTTTCCATTCTTTAAAGCATTTGGTGGATATTGTCTGCTTTTGATATACTCTTTAATATCATAGTACCAAGGATTTCCATCTGGCTCTTCTTCCACTGACTGACAATATGCAGGTTGGTCACGACATTGAATCTTTATAAGTGGCATATCTTCATTATTACTCAACATGAACAGAGATGACAAGGTGGCTAGTGCATCTGCTAATTGGTTATCTTCTCGAGGGATTTCATTAAAAGTGATTTTCTCAAATTGTCTTATCAATTCCTTAATGTAAGCTTGGTAAGGAATTAATTTTGTGTCTCGAGTTTCCCACTCCTCTTTTAACTGATGAATGACCAAGGCTGAATCACCGTATACCTCAAGTATTTTGGCTTTCGCTTCGATAGCTGCTTGTATCCCCAGAGTACATGCTTCATATTCTGCTATATTATTGGTGCAATAGAAACACAACCTAGCCGTGATAGGAGTATATTGTTTTTCTGGAGAGATGAGTATAGATCCAATTCCATGCCCCAACATGTTGGAAGAACCGTCGAACAACATGATCCATTTATCTTCTTGTGGTGACCTTTCTCCATTAAATAGTGTCATTATGTTTTCATCTGGGAATTCACACTGCATTGATTGATAGTCGTCTATAGGCTGATGTGCGAGATAATCTGCCAAAGCACTGCCTTTAATTGCCTTCTGGGTCATGTAAGTGATGTCATATTCTGATAAGAGAACTTGCCATCGAGCAATCCTTCCTATGAGCCTGGGCAGCGTCAAAACTATCCTCGGGGCCGGCCTCGTCTATCAACCCCTGGTCCTCGGAGCTAAGAAAGTTTAAGTTGAGGCTAAATCCATCGAAGTGTACTTTTGGCGTGAAATCTGGTAAATTGTTGGGATTTATAGTCAGTCAAAAAGGGATAGAAGTAGATCCCGACAAGGTTCGAGCAATTCTTGAGATGCCACCGCCTAGGACAGAAAGAGAAGTTCGAGGTTTCTTGGGAAGATTGAATTACATTGCCCGATTCATATCTCAATTAACAGCTACTTGTGAACCCATTTTCAAATTGTTACGTAAAAATCAACCAATGAAGTGGAATGATGATTGCCAAGCAGCCTTTGACAGAATAAAACAATATCTACAGAGGCCGCCAATTTTAGTGCCACCAGTCCCTGGAAGGCCTCTCATTATGTATCTAACAGTGCTTGATGGGTCTATGGGTTGTGTCTTAGGCCAACATGATGATTCTGGAAGAAGAGAGCAAGCTGTCTATTATTTGAGTAAGAAATTCACCGATTATGAGATCCGATATTCATTGTTGGAGCGAACCTGTTGTGCCTTGGCATGGGCAGCTCATCGTCTAAGACAATATATGCTTAGTCATACAACATGGTTGGTGTCTAAAATGGACCCAATCAAGTACATCTTTGAAAAACCCGCTCTCACAGGAAGGATTGCTCGTACTGACTTCAGTATGGCCGTATTGAAGCTTCATTACGCCCGTATTGAGTTCAGTACGGCCGTATTGGGCTTTTTCCCTCCACTTCTTTATTTTGAGCTGTTCTAAGACCTCTGGACCTACAGAGAACCCTCCTAGGGCCTTCGAGGAGTCCTTCTGGCTGATTACCCTTCAGTCTTCGAGAGTCTTCAAGCTTTATTTCCGACCCGGACAATTTTAGGGGTCTACAATAGCTGCTTGTATCCCCAGAGTACATGCTTCATATTCTGCTATATTATTGGTGCAATAGAAAGATAACCTAGCCGTGATAGGAGTATATTGTTTTTCTGGAGAGATGAGTATAGATCCAATTCCATGCCCCAACATGTTGGAAGCACCGTCGAACAACATGATCCATTTATCTTCTTGTGGTGACCTTTCTCCATTAAATAGTGTCATTATGTTTTCATCTGGGAATTCACACTGCATTGATTGATAGTCGTCTATAGGTTTAGAAAGAAACTCATGGCTAGTCTTCTCAAAGTTCTCTTTCCATTCTTTAAAGCATTTGGTGGATATTGTCTGCTTTTGATATACTCTTTAATATCATAGTACCAAGGATTTCCATCTGGCTCTTCTTCCACTGACTGACAATATGCAGGTTGGTCACGACATTGAATCTTTATAAGTGGCATATCTTCATTATTACTCAACATGAACAGAGATGACAAGGTGGCTAGTGCATCTGCTAATTGGTTATCTTCTCGAGGGATTTCATTAAAAGTGATTTTCTCAAATTGTCTTATCAATTCCTTAATGTAAGCTTGGTAAGGAATTAATTTTGTGTCTCGAGTTTCCCACTCCTCTTTTAACTGATGAATGACCAAGGCTGAATCACCGTATACCTCAAGTATTTTGGCTTTCGCTTCGATAGCTGCTTGTATCCCCAGAGTACATGCTTCATATTCTGCTATATTATTGGTGCAATAGAAACACAACCTAGCCGTGATAGGAGTATATTGTTTTTCTGGAGAGATGAGTATAGATCCAATTCCATGCCCCAACATGTTGGAAGAACCGTCGAACAACATGATCCATTTATCTTCTTGTGGTGACCTTTCTCCATTAAATAGTGTCATTATGTTTTCATCTGGGAATTCACACTGCATTGATTGATAGTCGTCTATAGGCTGATGTGCGAGATAATCTGCCAAAGCACTGCCTTTAATTGCCTTCTGGGTCATGTAAGTGATATCATATTCTGATAAGAGAACTTGCCATCGAGCAATCCTT